GCCGGCAGCCTGCCCGGCCCAGGTGAGTGGGGCGCAGACCAGCCGTCCCCTGGCCGAAGCTGCAGAAACCAGAAAACCTGGGAGGCCCCTCTGCCCAGCCCCCTCCCCAGCACCCCCCCACCACCTGCGTTGGGGAAAACCCCTGCTGCTAGGGCTTACCCTCAGAATCAAGGGCCAGCCCCCAGCCTTCAGCAAAGCCTGGTCAGTGCAAGACCCCCTCTTTCTTTGCCTCCCTCCCAGGGCTCCCCTCCTTCCCCCAGGCCGAGTAGCCCTCCCCAACAGAGAGGTCGGCCAGGGCACCAGGGGCTGGAGGGTCCCCAGGCCTGCCACCTCCCCGCTCCGCAGGAAGGGCTGAGGGGGAGCCCCTGGCCCTGAGCACAGGGGTGCCCTTTTCCCAGGAGGCGCGGGTGAATGGGGCAGGGACCTGGGCTACTGAGTGGCTGAGTAGCCAGAACCCAAGCCCTGAGCCCCAGGAACACCTAGGGCTCCCCCTGGCATTCTCCAGGCAGAAAGCGGGGTCCCTGAACGGCTGGGTTGTCACGTTTACTTCCTCCATCTCCCCTGCAGGGCACCTCCAGCCAGGACCCTTGCCAGCGGCCTGCAGCCCCAGCACCCTGCACCCCGGCCTGTGATCCACAAGCCGCCCCAGGCCCTGCAGCCACAGAGGGGCGCCAGTCTGCCCCCTGCCGCGGGTCAGCCTCTCCGGGGTGGTCCCCGTCGACACTTGGGCCCCCCAAGGCCCAGAGCCCAGCTCCTGCGGGTGGGCTGTGTGCTGAGCACCTGCCAGGTGCAGAACCTCAGCCATCGTCTGTGGCAGCTGGTGGCATCGGCCGGCCCCCGGGACCCGGCCCCCATGGACCTCAGCAGCCCCCACAGCTATGGCTGAGGTGGGGCAGGCCATGCCCTAGCCAGATGCTGTACCCCAACCCCAGAGCGGCAGCTCAGCCCAGCCCCAGTCCAGCCCCCAGGGCTCCCGCAGACAGCAGAGACCCCCCCCCCCCCAGCCCACCCACCAGGGGCTGCAGCGAGCTACCTGGAACTGCTTTGGACCCGCAAACCATGCACATGTGTGGCCCCAGGCAGGTCTGCAGGCAGAGTCCGTATGCCCCGGGGTCTGTGCACGCAGGAGTGCGCATGCTCAGGGGACAAGTGTGCCGTTGAGGTGGCCGGCAGCATCCCACGCGGGAAAGGGCTTCAGAGGGAAGAGGTCTGCTCAAGGTCACGGAGCAGAAGTCAGTCCTGAGCACGCAGTGCCACCACCTCCGGGCCCGAGGGAACCCTCTCCCTGCTGGGCCCATCGTCAGATTAAATCCTGGCTTCGGCTCAGGGGTTGAGCATCGACCTAGGAACCAGGAGGTGATGGTTCAATTCCTGGTCAGGGCACAGGCCTGGGTTGTGTGCTCGATCCCCATTGTGTGATGTGCAGGAGGCAGCCAATCAATGCTTCTCTCTCATCAGTGATGCTTCTCTCTCTCCCTTCCTCTCTGAAATCAATAATAAAAATATATTTAAAAAATAGAGCCACACGGTGTTCTGGGGCAGAGCAGACAGACACCCTTCCCATGTCCCAGGGCCAGGCAGGCCGGCTTGTGGACAAGACCCCAAGCCCAACAGCTCCATGGACTCGGAGCTACCACCACCTCCCGGGCGTGGGGATGGCACACAAGAGAGGGGGCTCCACAGGCACCCCAGGCTCCCTGACCCCCACCCTGCCTACTGTGGGGACTCCCCGGGACCTGTGTCCCCAGCTTGTCAGGGCCCTGGGAGGGGTTCGGCGCACAGCAGCGTGCATGGAGCTCCTTACACGTTGTGACACAGAGCCTGTCAGTGGCCCGAAGTCCTGACACCCCACGTCACAGGGGCACGACCCAGGGTCCAGGAAGCTGGTTTCTTGTATTTAGCAAACACTCACACGGCACTGAATTTGCCCATATTTGCCCCTGTCACCCCTTCAGCCACCCTGTGAGGGGGGCACAATCATGATCCCAACTCTAGGGGCAGACACTGCAGCCACAGAGGTCAGGGGCAAAACCACAGCCAGGCCCTGGCTGGTGTGGCTAAGTGGATAGAGTGTCCGCCTGTGGACTGAAGGGTCCCGGGTTCAATTCCAGTCAAGGGCACATGCCCTGTTGTGGGCTCGATCCCCAGTAGGGGGCGTGCAGGAGGCAGCCAATCAATGATTCTCTCTCATCATTGATGTTTCTCTCTCTCTCCCGATCCCTTCCTCTCTGAAATCAATAAAAATATATTCAAAAAAACAAACAACAACAACAAAAAACCCAGAGAGAGTGCAGAGGCCGCCCCAAAGCAGCTGAGAGGCTGGAACTCATGGGCCGGCCTCAGAGCCAGTGCCTGTGGTCACCGAGGGGTGTCGGCGAGGCAGGCAGGCAGGGAGGGCATAGGAGAGGGGCCGGGAACGAGGAAGGCAGAGTGGGGGCAAAGTCCTGGCCTGCCTGTGGCCCCGTCCTGCACACGGATGTCCCCCGCGGTGCACCCCCTCGTGGTAACCAGGCTGCCAGGCCCCGGGGCAGCACCTTGGTGTTCTGGCCGAGGCCCTCCCCCGAGCCTTGGGCGGCTGTTCCTTGAGGCGGGACGGACTGTTGACCTTAACGCTTGGCTGTGCCGCATCACGAGGTCACCTGCTGTGGTCAAAGCATCACACCTGGTGTCCCCGGCCCCTGAGCTCCAGGCCATGCCCCGGCCACCGACCTCGCACCCCCCCTTGGAGGCCCGGAGGCAGCACCCCAGCTCCCCAGGCCCCTCCCCACGGCCTCCTGGCAGCTCCTGCTTTAGCCAAACCTCTTGTTCACCTAAAAAAGAAAAGGCCTTTCAACTCGAGAGACGAGCGTTTATTTGAGATTTTTTAAAAAGCTTTTCCCGAATCACTGATTCTGGCAGAAGCCCAGACCGTGCTCTGCTCAGGAGACCACGCGAGGGGTGCTCACCAGGGGGCAGGGACCGTGACGTCCGCAGAAGGAAGGCAGAGTGGCGCTGACTCCCACCAATGTTTCATTTCCAGTCCTGCCGCCATCCGCCCAGGGGTCGTCACACCTGCTTTCTCGTCGTCTCTGCACACAGTTCTCTGGGACACAGGCTGCTCTAGGCCCCTTGCAAAGGTTCCTGTGCCCCGTTTTCACACCCAGCGATCTGAGGCATAAGAGGTGCCAGGCAGTGCCTCCGGCTCCATTTAAGGTTTTGTTCACATCCCCCCTTGTCATCAAGGTCTTTCTTTGGGAGCTTCCTGGTCCGTCTCAGAAAGCAGCCTCGTTGGCTCCGTGGTCCGGGGGGGAGGGGGGGCTCTCTGGGGCGTGTCCCGTCCGCGTCCCCCCCTGGTCTCCAGGCTCATCCCCGTGGATCACGTCCCACAGAAGCGGGAAGTGGTTTTGTTTCTGGAGCCTCAGGCCACATTTGAGCAGCAAGAGCTCAGTCGTATTTCTTTTTCTTTTTTAATATATATATTTTTTTTTTCAGAGAGGGAGGGAGAGAGAGAGAGAGAGAGAGAGTTAAAAAATGTTTTCATTGATGTCAGAGAGGAAGGGAGAGGGAGAGAGAGAGAAACATCAGAGACGAGAGAGAATCCTGGGTCGGCTGCCTCCTGCACACCCCACACTGGGGATCGAGCCAGCAACCCGGGCCTGTGCCCCGACCGGGCATCGAACCCTGACCTCCTGGGGCATGGGTCAACGCTCAGCCACGGAGCCACGCGGCCGGCATGACTCGTTTTGCTGTGTCTGCCTCTTCTTTGGGGAACGTCCGCGCCAGGCAGGTGCGTTTGTGCGTTTGGACCCTGCCGTGTCTGCAGGTACCAGACCTGGCCCAGTGCCTCTGGAATTCCTCTCTGCCCGGACTCGAAACAGAACCTCCCACCCGAAGAGCCAGACAGAGACCCACCTTCCACCTTCACCAGACTTCAGCCGGGCTCCTCTCAGCCACCCGCCCGCCCTCCCTCCCGTGGCCTCGCCTGGTACTCGCAGCGGCCCCACCCTGACGTCTCAGCGCCCTGCCCTGCCTTCAGCAAGAATCCTGTCCTGTCAGTTTAGCAAGAACCCCCGACGCTTGGTGTCTCCCCTCGCTCTCGGCATCTTCCTTCCACGGACCCTCCGCCCTCCTCCCCCAGGAGAGACTGGGCCAGATCGGGGGAGGCTGCTGCAGACCCCACAGCAGCTGATCACAGCAGGTGCTGGTTCCGACACCAGCTGGCACCTCCCTGCCCCCCGCTGTGGGCCGGTCCCTGGAACAGGCCCTTGTCTGGCCCTGGTCACGCGTGTACAGTGATTTCTGTACCGGGGAGCACTCCTGTGCTAGTACCAGGACTCCCCGCCCCGGCCCCGGATTGCTCTCTGGCCCCTGCTGAGCGGGTAGGGATGCGTCTGGTCTTGCAGCCGCCCACGACCTGCCTCCTGTGTGCATGTCGCTTCACACACCCCTCTGGTGAGTGGCAGCCTCTTGCTTTGGCCTTTCCCTGCCCGCCGTGGGCAGAGGTGGTTTCCAGCGGGGCTTTCCCTGGGTCTGCGTGTGGGAACGCCCTGCCCTCTGCTCCTGGCTGTCCTGGCTGTGTTCTGGGGGAGCCCAGCTAGTAACGTCTTCCTTCCCATTTGAAGTGTCAGAATAGCCCGGCCGGTGTGGCTCAGTGGTTGAGCACCAACCTATGAACCAGGAGGTCACAGTTGATTCCAGGTCAGGGCACGTGCCTGGGGCTCCGGGCTCGATCCCTAGTGTGGGGCATGTAGGAGGCAGCCAATCGATGATTCTCTCATCATTGATGTTTCTATCTCTCTCTCCCTCTCCCTTCCCCTCTGAAATCAATAAAAATATATACAAAATAAATAAATAGAAGTGTTAGAGTGTTTCTTTTTTTAAAAGTTCTTTATTGTTTAAAGTATTACACATGTCTCCTTTTTCCCCATTGACCTCTCCCCCCTTCTTTTTTTTAAATATATTTTTTATTGACTTCAGAGAGGAGAGGAGAGGGAGAAAGAGAAAGAAACATCAATGATGAAAGAATCATTGATCAGCTGCCTCCTGCACGCTCCACACTGGGGATGGAGCCCACAACCCAGGCATGTGCCCTGACCGGGAATTGAACCGTGACCTCCTGGTTCATAGGTCGATGCTCAACCATTGAGCCACGCCAGCTGGGAAGAGTAAGTGTTTCTGGAACAAGGCCCTGCCCAGAATCCCAGGTGCCTGAGGGATGGGGGTGGCGGGGGTCCCACGGCCTGTGGGGAGGGCCCTGGGCCGGTGTGGCCGGGTTTGGAGCCTGTGGGACACAGCGCAGGTCACCCTAAGCGGCCAGTTGTCCGGGAGGGAGTCCGGAGCTCAGGCAGGAGGGGCTGGGCCGCTCCTGTGCTGACCCATCAACTCGCTGGGCCAGGAGGAGGGTGGATGGTCACTCATTACCGAGGGCCGAGGCCAAGGGGCTGGGTGGTGTCCGGCCACTTATGTAACCCGTGGGCATATATAAGGGCACAGGCCTGTGGGACACCTGCCCGCCTGCAGCTCTGCTCCCTCTCAGGATGAAGGTGGCTGTGGTGAGTCCCCAGGCCCAGTGCCCCCGGGCCCTGCTGACCACTCCCCGGTGTCCCCTCCCTGCTGGTGCCCGCCAGCCCACTGCTCCTCTGTGGTCCCGCTAGGCAAGGGTCAGCTGCCCGCCCCCAGGCTCCCAGCGCCCAGGTCTGGGAGGGCGGTTCAGAGGGTCTGTGCTCCTACACAGCGTCTCCCCAGAAGCAGGCGCCCGGCTGACATCCCCTCGGCCGACTAGGACTCACCAAGGCCTGCGGCGGGCGCCAGGGCCGGAGAGGGGTGTGCTGCGGGCGCTGTGCTCGGGGGCGACCCCTGGCCTCTGCTGCCGACCCCCCACTTAGTTAGTCTCGTGCCCTCGAGGGGGTCCCCACTGCCTCCTGGAGCCGGCATCACGGTGAAATGGGCTCAATCCCCACCCAACCAGGGCCCAGACCCTTCCCTGGTCTACAGGC